GGGGAAATTTGTACTTTGCATGTATTCTCGTGCATGTGATGGTTCTTTATAATTTAATAAATAAACGACACCAACCTAATTGCGGGATTAAAAAAAAAAAAATTAATATTAATATTGAAAAAATTAATGATAATATAATATTAAATAGTATTGATTTAAATAAAAATAATTTTAATATTAATTATTAATTATTTTAATTTAATTTATAAATTTATAATATAATAAAAATATTTTATAAAATGTCAAATAAAATTTAAAACTTAAATTTATTTAATTATAAAAATATTTATTACAAATATATAATTAGACTGTATGAAAATAAAACTTTTAATTTTTTCAATAATTATAGATTTATAATAGATTATATGAAAAAAGAATTGTATTAAAAAAAAACTTTTGATTTAAGTTCAATTGAATTTATAAATTTGGTTATACAAATAATATTTTATTTAAATATACAGATTGAATTATATTTTATTTTAATCAATTTTAATTATCTACTTATATTAATATTTTATTTAAACATATAGACCAAGCTATACTTTATTTTAATTAATTTTAATTAACTATTTATTATATTTTAATATTAAACAAAGAATTTTTGAAAAAAATATTATATATTTATCTAATACTATATATTGTAACGTGGAAAAAAGTAATGTATCTCATATTGAAATTTGAATTTTCTTTGATATTGGAAGAAAAACAGCAGTATTAAATATAATGAGCATGATAAAAAACCAGTATAAGCCTGAAGAAAGAAAAATATTAAAAAAAAGTAGAATTGTGACATAATAAAATAATTGCTATATGTTGAATTATAACATTATAAAATTAATTAATAGAAATATAATAAAGGAATATAAAATTTAAATAACAATTGTTTTGTTATAAGATTTTTTATAGTTTTTTATTTAATTTGTAGTTATTATTTTTATTATATAATAAGTTTGTAAAAATGTATAAAAGAAGTAGAAAATTAAATAAAGAAGTATAAGTTTTTTAGCTACAATCAATTCTGTCTTACTATAAATAAAACACTTATTATCACTACACAAATCTGAGCTTTTCTTAGCAATAGAAATGTCAATTACCATTACAATATATAAAAGTTATATTTTGTTTAATATTTATATTTCTAGATTTGACAGTTTAAATTAATTTATTTTTTTAAAATATTTATTAGAAAATTAAAAGTTGTATTTCACTTGGCTATAAAGTCTCTAGATTTGATAATGATAACTAATTAAAAAATACAAACTTGGATCATTTGCTAAAAAGTATATACATATATTAAAAATTCTTTATTATATTAATTGTGTGGGCTAAAGGGTTAAGATATAATAAGCTGTTTGTATAGATAATTAGCATGTAATCGTATGTTTCAAATAAGAAAATAAAGCATTATAGGTTAAATAGTTTAAAACTAGTAATAGGATTTTTACATTCTATAGTATCCTGATATTATAAAGTAAAATTATTCAATAATAAATTTCTGGTTATCAGATGTAAGATGCAATATAAAAAACAATTTGTAGATATAATTTATATACGTAAGTCTTGAATATATACTTATATCTATATATATTAATAAAAAATAAGCATTCTTATACATTGGTCAAAAAAAATTAATGTTTTTAATTTATTGATAAGTGAATGTTTATTATTATCAAATTTTAGAAAATTTTTTATAATTTATTTTTAATAAAACTTATTCAATTTATGCAAAATTAATATGGTGAACATAATTCGATAGCACGAATGACGCACCCAAACATATCAACCGCGACTAGCCAATCAGTGACCTATTTATTAGTTATCTCATTCGCGAAAACCATTACATCATTACATGCCAAGTAAAATGCATAAGTACTTCAATACCAAATGTTCCAAATGAAATATTCGTGATTTTTTGGATAAATGTGATTGGAACCACTTCAACAGAAGACAGATTGTTATACTAGGTGACTTAAGATCATTGCTAATTCCAAGACTGATCACAGGCGTGAAAAAGCACAGAAACTACTCGACGAATATATGAAGGCGAGTATATCTTTTTTTAAGAATGTGGATAGAAAATAGGTGACGCGTCTAGGATTTACGAGATCCCCTGACGTTCAAGGTTCCGAGCCGAGTCACGAAGCCAGTGTTGAAGCGTATACGACTTATGAGGTCGTCTTACGTTCAAGGTTACGAGCCGATCTGACACTAGCCCTGCTGGGGCGTATACGACTTACAAGGTCGTCTTATGTTCAAGTTTCCGAGACGACCTGGCAGGAAGAAATAGATAGGATATATTATTATTATTATTGAAGAGCAATACTAATCCTTGAAAGTTTTACATTCAGGGTACTCAACCAGGACGCCAAATGGCAAGAAAGTGGGACAAGGAGCGTTCTGATAGACGCAAATCAGTTGAAAAGTTGAATGAACCTTCAGTTCGCGTCTACCATCCTATATTTATAGGAGGTGGGACTGTTGGGGGGATTATAAAGTCTGAAACCTTCATTTCCGGGTCATCAGAGAAGGATCAGAAAAAGGTACGGGTACGTATTTTTATCAGTAAAGATATTAAACATTACTGCAAATATTTTTGTGCTACAATGTTTTGTATTTTGTAGGATCCAGTTGGCAATGTCAGCGGCTTCTTCAAAGATCTTTCTGGCACAAAGTCAACAAAATTTATTGAGAAATTATGGAGATTGAGTGACGACTCCAACAGAAAATTCGATGAGGATAAAGTATGACCATCGGAATAAAGTGAATTGTTAATATTTATTGTCGCCAATTGATCTGCTATCTTTCTAGGTTGAATCTGAGTCGCAGATCTCCTCTTCCGGATTTGATGATAACGATTCAGACTATATACCAAGGTATGTATTATTATCCTTGGAATAATATTCTTCAATTCTTAGACTAATTTTATTTCCTTGTGCGGTACAAGTGGCACTGACGAATCATTCTCCGATGAGTCAACTTATGATGAAATCGATGATTTGGATTATAACGTAAGTTCGTGTTATACAAGATCCATGTTTACAAGTGGGAATAAGGAATTAAAAAATTTTTCCCACACTGATGATACCTTAGAACGATTATTTAAGTAAGAAGGATTCTCCAAAAATCGACAAGGTAGCTTTTCGAAAGTCTCATGATGCTATCCCGGACACCACAAAGTTGAAATTGAGCACAGGAAAAATAGTGGAAGATGTTCTATTTGATTTTTGCAAGGACATGGATTATGAACAGTGAGTTTCTCTAAGTTTAAATTCTTTTATCTTATCATTCACAATACTGAAGATGATTTGATTAGCCATGCCCATTCATATATTGTGAATTTTGATGATGAGAATGTCAAGGCATTATTTACCGATTCAGAATGGAAAGAATTAACAGAAGATCGAATTGGAGTTCCGATTATTTCACACGACATTGCAAAAGAACTGGCGAGATATGAAAAAAACACTTTAGAGGGTTTACGAATAGTAACAATGACATCATTTCTTAAAGAAAAATATGACATTCGTAAGCACTACGATAAAGAATGGATTCAATTGGCCGTTCGAACACTTGTAAATCTATATGAAAATATAGATGCTCCTCTAATAAGAGCACAGTGCGAACATTGGTATACTGTTGCACTTCTTGGGACATGCATTGACTTCTGTCTTAGAGACATTCGATTGGGGACTGATGTTAAAAGGTTAGCTGCTTTCCACTAGTATAAACAATAAATTATCATCGATTCGCATTTTTTACTATAGCTTATAAATATATTCAGAATTGACGCACCGTCGTCAAGTAGTGCTGACCGGAAAAATCGAAATCGAAAAGCAAATACACATCAACGAAAGTCTGTTGATCGTAAAATTGATGGAATAATACATACAATTAATGAGCTTCTCGAATTTGGAGTTGTAGAAGGTGCAAGATCCTTTAAAGGTGTCTCAGACAATAAATATCTCAATGAAGAATTCGAAATTCCAAAGACTCTTCGAGAAATGTATTCCAATTTGATCCGAGCTGCAAATTATGATGATCAAAGAGCAGACAAACTTCAAGTAATTGGTATCTTACATCTTGGATTATGGATTCAATTCGTAAGGTTATGGCGTGCCGGAGGATCGATTTGCATTTTTCGTAAAGATCCCCGATCTTTTAACATACATAGTAAATTCTCGAAAAAGGGATTAAGATCTTTCCTTAAATTTCTAGCAAGGATATATCAATATAAGGTATGAACAAGATTATTAAAGCCGTTTACTTCTCATTCATATACTAATTGTTTTAATAGACTATTATTAAGAATAATCTACAAGTTCTGGATATTCTGAATGACGACGACGACGACGACGACGATAATGAATCATATGATTTGTTAAAAGGGTTAAATGAACAATGTTCTACTCCGCCTCCTGCATCAATTCAATTTTTTGCTGATTGTTGGGACACCCCTAAAAAAAGAACTAATTCAGAAAAAAAGAATTCAAGGCAAAAAAAAATAAAATTGAATCATCCATGATTTAATTCTTGTAACAAACTCATTTAGAATGCAATACAATATTTTTTAATAATGTATTTGGATTGCTCAAAGTATAAGATTTCAGGAATATATATTTCGGATATAATGCATTGCTATGATCGAGTTTAGGGGACCTACTTAATGATAGAATCTGTTTGGGTACAGCAGAACGACAAAGCCTAGCAAGTAGGGTGTCCAGATTTCGACTTTTAATCACGTTAAATCAGCGAAATTGGATTAACCAATAGATTTATGTGATTTTAATACACGATCACATGATTGGATCAAATCATTATTGTAGATTTTAATGCCATTTTTAATCCCTAACAAGATATAAAAGTAAAATTTTTTAACTATTTTTTAACTAGAACCTTATAAATTTTTTTATCAATTATATAATTATAATTGTACATATAAAAAAAATTCAAGTAAAATAGATTACATTTGACTATCAATTATAGCAAGCAATATGCTTAAATTTCAAATTTACAATTTTGTAGATAACAAATGTGATCATACTTTTCTAAAACTTTATTTAAATAAAAAACTCGTATTTATATTTTTTTTATCTTAATATAAAAAGTTAAATGTTGGTGTAAGAAAAGAATCAATTTCAGTAAGACAAACGAAGAGTAATAAGACAAATCCAAGAACAAAATTAATAATAAAATCCAAACAACTTCAAATAAGAATATCTAGATTTTAGCAATGCAGCAAAATAAACCAATCAGATTCAAGTTAGAATAAATATCAAAAAGCATTGATTTTGTAATATTCAATAATTTTATTATAAAAAGAAGCCCTTTACAAAAAATATGAATTCTTTATAAAATTAAAAAAAAACTTTAGGATTTTTAATATTATTAACATTACTTATTTTATATAACAATTATATACCTAGATATTTAAAACTTTTAAACCTTGATAATCAATTTTTAAATTTTATAAAAAAATTTTTTCTTAATTTAAATATTTTAAATAAAAATCTAATACCAATAACTAAATACATACATATTATTATATTTTTGATAAGTTTGTTGCTAGTATCAGATTAAACTCGCATAATATTAAGATAAATTGTCTTTTTTCTTTACCTGAGATGTAGATTTAATTTAATTATACTTCAAAACTAATTAATTTTATTTTTTTTGATTTGTTTTTTTTCAAATAAGTTAAGTTCCAATCCTTTTGGTAATTTTTAGAATAATTTTCTTTTGGCAACATTACTTTTAAAAGAGTATAGAAGAGTAAGTTATTAGTAACTTTATTTTTACTATATCAATTATACTATCACATATAATAAATTTTAATTAATAATCCAATATTCTACTTTTTTATAATTTTTATTGATTTAATTAACTTTTTATAAATGTTATTTGAAATTAATTCTTATTTTTTTTTTATAAATAATTGCAATTGGTTTAAATTTTATAAATTTTTTATCGAATTTAGACTATTGAATAGTTATTTGAAAATTTTAAATATATTATTATTACAATATAATTTTGTAAAATAATTATTATATTTTAAGTTATTGTCTTGTTAAAACAGAAAATTTTTTCTAATATAAGAAGTTTTAACATTAGCTATATTTTCTTTTAAAATATTAATATGGATTTTAATTATTATTATTATTTAAAAACAATAACGATTAAATATTTTTCTTGCAAATATTTTTTATTTATAAAAATTTTACAGATTGATTATGAACTCTTATATCATTAATCAATTGTATTTTAAAAGAACTGAAAACAATTTCATTTAAAAAAGTGTTCTTGTTCAACTATTATTTTAATGTTTATTTGTTTATTTGAACTTTTTTTCTTTTTTGTTAAGGATTTTGATTATTGTATAAAATTTTTTGTAATATATATACCATTATTTCAATAATATAATATTATTATTTAAAAAAATAATAATTAAAATTTAACTTTAACCTATATTGATAAAAGCAAGTTTGAGAAATAAAATTAAGAAAAAAGTTAGTCAAAACTTTATTCTTTTTATCTCTACACTTTGATATAATATTCTTATCTAAGTTTGGTTAGTTTTATATGTATAGATTTGCTATTGTAATTTTTTCAATAATTTTGACTCATATTAAATAATAATAGAATTTAGATCAAATTAAATATAATTATTAAACAAATAATAAAATAACAACAATTTTTATTATTAATTCTATTTTATTTATTTAAATTATAAGAAACAGTATTAATTAGTTGCATTTATTTATCTATACCAAAAAAATATTTATATAAAAAAGATAATAATACAATTATTTTATATAAAAGATGTTATCACTTTCTTCATGTACAAAATTTATATAATCTTGCAACTAATAAAGTAATAATTTTATTTGCTTTATACTAATATAATTATTGTTTTATTAGAATATAATTATTCTGCTCAATTCAAACTATAACTATTTAATATATAAAACTTGATTTATTAAAATAATAAGTAGATTATAAAAATCAACCTATTCAAGTGATGGATTAATTACAAAACTCATATTATTCAAGTGATATGATATGTAGATTATAATAATTACTGTATATTATTTAAAGTTACTAAGTCATATATTAAAAATAAATAATATAGCATATAAATTAAATTTTAAATATGTAATTCTGAATATACATGTGATTGTATTACAACCACTCCCTCTGATTCGATAAGTGAAGTTAAATCTTTACCAGAGGTTGAGATATGTGAAGAGATTAATCGAGATTCTGATCCATTAGAAGTCAAGATACAGGTAAGTGCGCCCGATGACCCGCGGAGTGGGATGCTATCGCATCTAAAGATTCCAACTATGAATACGATTTTGAAGATCCCTTCGATAACAACAAAGATGACTCGCGGAGAATGCTAACGCGTCTAAGGATGATGATAGGTTCTGTGGATTTTCTATCGATGATGATGAAGGTATTATTGTGATTTAAATACCGGTGAAACTTATACAAAATCGGATTGTTTAATCTGCGCATATTAAGACACTATTTTCCCAATCTAGTTTTGTTATAATAAATAAACTCTTTCAAAAATTCAGACACTGCCAACTCTGGTTAATAATCATTATTTTTTCATTTTAAGATCGCCCAGTCCGAGGTAAGCAAATTCGAGATATCAGTTTTCCTCTATATCTTTATAATTATGATGAAGTATAGGTGCGATGAAGGTATTATGAAAATGTAATGAAATTGCAATGTAGTCACAATAAACTCTTTCCATATATAACCGCTATGTAAATACTAATGAAAACAAATGTCACAAGCTTTTTACGAAAGAAAAAAAAATTATCGAGTATCATATATTCTTCTTTTTCATCTATATTTCAGATAAATGATATGTTAAGAATTGATAACAACACCATTCGATATCATTGCTCGGCATAAGTGCCTCGTGGATTAATAGATGTCAAGAATAATAGATGTCGACACATTAACGAATATATTCCTGCTATCTATATTTCTGGCTTCGAGGATGAAATCACGAGAAGTCAGAATTTCTGGAATAACGTAGCTTATACAATAAACAATGTAAGAATATATAATTAGTAATTATTCCTAGGTGTTAAATGTTACTCCACTATATCAATATTTCTAATATACTTTTCTAATAAATGTGTCTATACTGTATATAGATGAAGGTAAAACTGGAAAGAGAAACAGAACTGGTGATTGATATTTTGAAGAATTTAGTTGGTAGAGACCATTAATCATTTTATAATCTATTAATAGAAAATACTAACTAGTAAAAAAACATTACACGTGAAATAAAGAAACTTGGTACATAATGCAAACACATCCACCAAAAGACGACACCGTAACCCGTAATCCACTACCATTATAATCGTCTAAGCATCCGTAGAATGTTAAGCACGTGAACAGAGATCATTGTTACGTAATAACGTGCCCGTAGGCACAGTAGTAAAAACCAACTTATTAAGCTTAAGCTGGCCTTTTAGATTCAATTGCTCTGATTATAAATCTAGGAACAGCACCAGATTTTAAGAGAATGTCTCCAGAATCGTTCTCACCCTCAAGCATTTCCTCTGACGAAGACGAGATGGCAAACGTAGTTAAAAAATATGAAACTGAGGAACTAATCGAATGTTTGCGAAGTAAGGATTTAAAACTCATGGAGTCACATTTTGAAATATTCCGTAAAGAGAAAGTTACTGGTCTCGACTTTCTTGAGACAACAGAAGAGATGTTTCGCAGTATTGGTTTGACATTAGGTCCAGCAACAAGACTTGCAAATTTTATCGCGGATCTAAAAAAATGTAAGTGTACTTGAGATTTTGTTTGCATTCAATCATATAAGCCGTTACTAAATTTTCCTCCATATAGCAAACAATGGACTTGTGTCCGTTTTTGTGGATAATTCCAACATACTTGTTGAGGGAAAATATATTGCTGGCTATAAAGAGAAAGCAGATTCCTTCGATTGCGATAGAGATTCCTGTATTATTAACCAACTCCATCTCGACCACGGTCGTCTTTTATCAACAATACTGCAAGGACGGAAAATGGGCAGTGATCCAGTGATTGTTGGTTCTCGTCCGCCCCCGAGTGATGAGATATGGTCACAAGCTCGAAATCTTGGTTTCATAGTAAACGTATTTGATCGAAATTGTGAAAATAAAGAGAAGATGGCAGATACTTCTCTTGTAGCTGAAGGAATTTGTGTCTACGCTCAAAAAGATCCCGGTACTCTTATTTTAATAGCTGGATATGATGGCTATGTCCCTCTAATAGATAAGGCTCTATTATTCAACTGGAGGGTTGAAATATGGTTTTGGTCATCAGGTATAAAAATATTTTTGCGTTTGAAGGCACGCTTTTATTTATTTTATTTACATGAAATATCTATCTACCTACATAGTCATATCTGGATATCTTAGGTCGAAAGGAACTTTTTATTGCTTAGATAATTATTATAAATATTTTACATATGCACTCGGACCATGTTCTGAAAAAAAATTTATTCTTGAAATAACTTATGGCGAGACAATTAAAAATTGGAGGGATGCAAAGATATTGGATTTTTATGTGTCACTAAGATTATTTGGGTGGTGGCATAAAGAGGAAAATATCATACACATGTATTTCGATGATAGGGCACACTTAAACGATGCAAAAAAATGGTTAGAAGATAAATATTCGGATAGCATTCGGGTTTTGGAGCGGGAAAGAAAAAGGAAAAACACGTTTAAAAAGTAGTCCTGTCTTAAGAAAACAATTATAAGAATTTATACGTTCCGATCAAATAAATTTTATTTGTAATAATGAATAATGTAAAAATTTTAATAAAAAAGTTTTAGTTTATAAATTATATATAGGTCAAAATTTTTAACTACGCGATTAACGAAATCCTTAATTTTTTGTATGCTTTCGAGAAGAACTATTTCTGATTTTTCATCATACCATACCTCAAGTAAGAAGATTCTATTATCTTGACAAATGCATCTTTTTAACCGATCACGATTAACAACATCCTCGAGCTTTTTAACATCTTGAAAGAATCTATTTAAGGAAGGAGGCGATATTCAATTATCGGTTCTTCATTTAGAATTTCTGCAGTTGTCTTAATACATTTGCATATTTGTAACTTTTATTTATCAGCTTCTGCTCTGTATTTACGAATCTACTGTGGCTTCATAATCTTTCAAAGTTTGTTTTAATTTTACAGACTTGATTTCGATATTTACTTGTCTAATATTATTTTCAGCTACAAACTTGGTATCGACTTAGAATGATTATTTACCATTTTTTAAAATGTAAAATATAGATATATTCATTAAGCACGCGCATTCTTTTTCGAAACACCGATGCCAAGTAAAATTCTCGATCATACATGCATTTCATTATTAGATGCAGTTCTGTGAGTCAATATGTAAGCTATAAGACGGGAAAGACACAGGATATGTCATGCTTTGCAGACTATTTATCCACTACTTTTAATAACTTTTTTATAATTCCCTCTTGTACACGTTGTCTCTTGGTTTCAGGCTAGTCACATGTTGAAACCCTATCTTTCAACAATCCTACAAGTGTGCTAATTACCTGCATTATATATTCCTTTAAATTTTCCTGATTCCCCATATGTGCCTTTCTCGTAAGATTTATTTAATATTTACTATTACTCGTACAAAATATACCTTCGAAAGTAAACATGATAAAATGCCAATCCGCACCTAAAAATGAATCCGATAATTAGCATAGCTATATTACCTCCGGCAAATATAATAAAAAATTTGCACAACCCATATAGATGGTCGTAATCATCACCCTTGAATGCTTCATCTGCGGTTGCTTCTTGTTCATGTGGAAGGAACTCGACTTGGTTTATATTTTGGAGGTAGTCAACCTTAACATTTCGTGGTTTGCCCTCAGTAATACATAAAAGATCTTCCAGACCCGTTATTGCATAGTTGACTCGACCGGGTGCTTATTAGCGACCGAGACGAAGTCACGGGGCTAGATTATCGCGAGAGATCATGTAACACAGTCAATGATGTAATGTGCTAGTAAACAATATTAAGAATGATGTGAGAGTATTACGATGATTGTGCTTTCTTTCTGTTGTGACCCGAAAATATTATTTTTCCGGCTTATTCGAGGTCCCTCCCTCCCGCCCACTTAACATTATACGTTGCTCTATTATACTGTTGAAAATGAGCTGTGTAAACCCCACACCGTTTGAATGAGGGTTATTGGAAACAAGCTGTGTAAACCCATGTCGTTAAAATTCGGGTGTAAGGTGGCGGTGTAAACCCACACCATTGAAATTGAGAATGGAATCACCATGGTTTAAAACTCGACATTGAGAATGGAGAGACAGTTATGAACACATCATAGTCGAATGAAGTACGTTTGATAGGTAAATATAGATAAGAAGTAGAGCATGAAGGCGGCATACCCTGTATGTGTAGGATAGGATATCGATATACTGTCGCTAAACCAGATAGAAGGCTATATCCCATAGTGACTAATAAATATATTTTTATGTTTTATATGTCAAATTGATCTCGAGCGAGAATAATTCTTCCCCCGAAGTATTTCTTTGCAACTCTATTTATTTCTTTATTTGTCAGCCTTGTTGTAATTATGATTGATGCGTGCAAGATTGATGAAATAAATTCGCAATGTGTCTCGTTAACCGTAGTAATATTTCATTCATACATTGATCGATCCTCATCGATTATTATTGAAAGAAGAGATTAAACATCATGTCTAGAAATTTCGATCGCCTTATCGCAGAAATAAAGTATACATACTGTACTCTGTTAATCGATTTGTCCCTTAACAGGTGTAGTGATCATAATAATCTAGCGCTTTTGAATCTCCAAGCTGTTAATATAATGGCGCATATGGTTTTTCACGATTGATAATTTTAACTCCCACTCGTACCATTGCACCCTAATAACGAACAGATTGCTCGTAATAGTTCGCTGAGTTGAACTTTGTCTTGCTTGTGAAGTTCTAGACGTTTATCTAAGATTTTTAATATGATTACTGAATTTCCTGCCAGTAATCAAAAGCGATTCAGATATCTTTTGAATCACTTGGATTAAGCAGAATAAATATTGCATTCGGAATGTTGCGATGATAGCTTGAATACTAAGTTCTAATAATTCATTGTAAATTAATTATTAGGTATAGATGAAAATGCAATGATTTTACGAATCATCTCTTTTGTTTTAATTCTCCTCTGAGCAATTAGCTCTATTATTTCTAGCGCTAATTGTGTTGGTTTTGACTTCTGTTCCTAGTGTTACAGGGCGGCTGGCGAGCCTGTCACCACGTCGTGCCTGGGCTCACGTCGCATCCCACGAAACATCCAATAAAGAAGGGCTTTAACTCTTGAGGCGGACTTGGCTAGCGTAACTTCGTCCAATCAGCAAACTATTTCTGAACCCTGCGTCTTGCCAATCCTTAGGCAGACCTTGTTCTATCCTGTTTGTGCGATGCAAGTTACAGGCGACACGTGTTTAACAATCACTCAATAAGTTTTAAGCTTTAACTTTATCTATATTATTTCTTTGAAGCACGCTCCAAATACAAGAACATGATCTTCAATCAGAGTTCATCTATTTTATTGGTTACCCGTACTGTATAATTTGTTAAAATATAAACAAATCCAAATATACTTACTCATTTACCCAATAACACTAGATATGGTTATAACAGATATTTTTTACCAAAAATAAAAGACAGGGAGGTGTTCTCTATGCACATCTATGCAGCACACATACAGCTGT